TAGCTTGTAGAGAACAAAAAGAAAATAGAGAAAGTATTCGGCAGAATTTTTGAACTTGAACCTTCCTGGAATTACAGAGCAGAGCCTAGCAATCTCTGAGCAAAAGACAGAATGATGGTTTTTAATACCAGCCTGATGTTAGTGCATTTGGAGCTGAAGGAGTCTAACCATGAGGAAAATACTGGGTTTTTTTATAATATTCAAAATATGAAATAATATTTTCCTATATAGACTAAAGTGATGGCTATGATGAACAAGAGAGTAACACTGAAGAAGAAAGTCACCAGGACAGCATGACTAAGAAAAGGAGGATAGACATCAATGGTTTCAAACTACAAACTAATGCTGACTCTCCTGTAACTATTTAAACTTTTATTTAAAAAAAAAAATAAAGCAAGCCGGTTGTGGTGGCACACGCCAGTAGGATTTGCTGAAGGAAGCAGAGGCAGGAAGATCACAAGTTCAAGGCCAGCCTGGGCTACACATTAAAACCCTTCCGGTCTGGGCCCGAGCACTGAACAGATCCCGGGCGGCAGCTCTGCACCCAATCTCACAAATCCCAGAGGAAGCAGGCCTCCCAGGAGCTCTAACCTGGGCAGTATCTTAGGTAAGGAGACAACAACACCCGCCCCAAACAGGGAGTAACTGGGACCCACTGGGACCCAGGAATTCACTCCTGACCGGGAGCACTAGTTCCTTCCAGTCTGGGTCCGAGCACTGAGCAGATCTTTGGCCCCAGATCTAACCTCAGTAGTAACACCCACCCCACACAGTTCTGAAACAACCAAGATAATAAGAAAGACAGGCTCCAGTCAGAGACAGGGCAGGTAGCACTAAGGAGATCCAGATGGCGAAAGGCAAGCTCAAGAATATAAGCATCAGCAACCCAGGGTACTTGCCATCATCAGAACCTAGTTCTCCCATGTTAGAAAGTCCCGAACTCCCCATATCACCAGGAAAGCAAGAACCAGATCTAAAATCACTTCTAATGATGATGGTAGAGGACTTTAAGAAGGACATAAATAACACTCTCAAAGAATTTGAGGAGAACACAGGTAAACAGATAGAAGCCCTTAAAGAGGAAACATAAAAATCCCTTAAAGAATTACAAGAGAACACAACCAATCCGGTGAAGGAATTGAACAAAACCATCCAGGACATAAAAATGGAAGCAGAAACAATAAAGAAGTCACAAAGAGAGACTACCCTGGAGATAGAAAACCTAGGAAAGAAATCAGGAGTCATAGACACAAGCATCACCAACAGAATACAAGAGATAGAAGAGAAAATCTCAGGTGCAGAAGATACCTTAGAAAATATTAACACAACTGTCAAAGAAAACACAAAATGCAAAAAGTTATTAACACAAAACATCCAGGAAATCCAGGACACAATGAGGAGACCAAACCTAAGGACAATAGGTATAGATGAGAGTGAAGATTCCCAACTTAAAGGGCCAATAAATACCTTCAACAAAATTATAGAAGAAAACTTCCCTGACCTAAAGAACGAGATGCCCATAAACATACAAGAAGCCTACAGAATGCCAAATAGACTAGACCAGAAAAGAAATACCTCCCATTACATAATAATCAAAACACCAAATGCACAAAACAAAGAAAGAATATTAAATGCAGTAAGGGAAAAAGGCCAAGTAACATATAAAGGCAGACCTATCAGAATTACACCAGACTTCTCAACAGATACTATAAAAGAGAGAAGATCCTGGACAGATGTCATACAGACCCTAAGAGAACACAAATGCAAGCCCAGGCTACTATACCCAGCAAAACTCTCAATTATCATAGATGGAGAAACCAAGATATTCCATGACAAATCCAAATTTACACAATATCTTTCCACAAACCCAGCATTACAAAGGATAATAGCAGGAAAGCTCCAATACAAGGAGGGATATTATACCCTAGAAAGAGCAAGAAAGTAATCCTCTTCCAACAAATCCAAAAGAAGATAGCCACACAAAGATAATTCCATGTCTAATAACAAAAATAACAGGAAGCAAAAATCACTGTTCCTTAATATCTCTTAACACCAATGGACTCAATTCCCCAATAAAAAGACATAGGCTAATGGACTGGATATGTAAACAGGACCCAGCATTTTGCTGCATACAGAAAACCCACCTCAGTGATAAAGATAGACACTACCTTAGAGTAAAAGGCTGGAAAGCAATTTTTCAAGCAAATGATCCTAAGAAACAAGCTGGAATAGCCATTCTAAAACCTCCAGTCCAAGAACACAAAGGGAGGGACTCATGACTCCACCTGTATAGGTAGTTGAGAGTGGCCTTATCAGGCATCAGTGAAAGTAGAGGGCCTTGGTTCCTGAAAGTTTGGATTCCCTAGTGTTTGGGGAAATCGAGAGCAGGGAGGCAGAAATGGGAGGATGGTGGGAACACACCCTCATAGAAACTCCCAGAATTATATGGATTAGACATGACAGAGGCAGGCCGCCAGAAGACTAGATTCCAGAATTCAAACAAAAATTATCTTGATACTAAAATTTGTTTTGAGAATTGTATATTGCAGAATACAGAGCCTTGGTGTATCTACTCATCAAGCAAGCTGACCAGACCTGCTTGAACCTCTGATGTCCTGGAACTTTAGCTGGATGCAGTGAAGACACAGACATCAGAGGCTTATCAATGTACTCTTCCCCCCACCTCTCTTCTACTATCTCAATGCCTGTAACCAGCTTGAAGAAGTTAATGAAGAGTCGGCGCCCCCATTCCCTGAGCTTGGGGACTGAGGTGGTTAATATTGGGCTGTCTTTCTAGGGAAAAGTAGTGGTTTTGTTGGAACAGGGAGGAATAGCTAGGATTTATTACATAGCCATAACCTATTGGTAGAAATCTGTATAATCATTATTAAGCTGAAGTTATAATGGTACAAAATTTACTTTGATTTCAAATTTAAGGTTATCATTGGTACGAGTTTCTTATTGATATAGAAGTGAGATTAATATTGTTACTCTCATAGGCATTGTGCCTATATAACACATTTAGGAATACAAAGCTTAGGCCCAGTCCTTCTTTAACTTTTTTTTAACTGATTTGAGATGGTTCGCCTGTGAGTTAAGGGCCTACAGCAAATTCATGGCTCTAAGTTTATTGTTAGAGTGTTTTCTATATTTTATTTAGAAATAGCTGAGAGGAGTTAACAGACAACAGTCCAGATTGCCTTACATGGATAGTTGTCAGAAGTCCACAGAATTGACATTACAAACATTTCTGTATTAATGTTCATTTTGATTAGAGACCTATCTGCTCCTGACAGCTTCCTATCTTGCATTCTAAGAAGAAATTGAGCATCTTTGGAGTTATTCCAGTTGTGGCAAGACAGCCACTAGGCAAGAATTGCCTTTTTCATCTACAGACAAATTACTGTCCAGAAAAAGGACACACTTGTGGAATAGTCGACTGATTATATCTGCCAAGACAGAGTAATCAGCCCTTAATAATTCTGCATCATTAGGTCTGTCAGATGATCCTGGGCCAGAAGGCTGAAGATCAGATGCTCCAATGTTTTGTAGTATAGGGACTGTCCAGGTGTTCAGTGGTGTCTATAAATTGGCTAAGTTTTAGAAGCTATGCTTTGTGCTTCCCATAATTTCAGTTAATTTAGTCATTCTGGATTCCTGACGGGGTTGAACACTTATAGTCTCATAGCCAATCCCAGCTATGATTTACTTTGAGAGAAAAGATTTGAGAGGATGATTTTCAGCTGACATTCATTCTAAAGCCAAGAAAAAAGCCAAGTTCAGAACTAAGTCTTTTAGTTAGGAGAGATGACAGAGGTTCTGGTTAGTTAACAAAATGTTGGACTGGGTATTAGGTCTATCTTGTACCTTACTGATACAAATTGGTATAGTTATGCTCTAATTGTATTTTGAGAGAAAAGTTTTATTTTAACAGGAAGGGTGATATGTAGGAGGAGCTAAGGTGGGAGAAGTAAGGAGAGGAAGAGGAGGAGTAAGGAGAAGAGGAGAATGGGAGGAGGAGGAGCTAGGAGATGGGGGAAGGAACATGGAGGCAGGGATTTTGGTGTGTCTCCGTCAGTCAAAGATAGTTGGTGTATCTAGGTTGGGTATTGGGTTACACTTCTGATTGTATGGGCATTTTGTTATTGAGCATTACCAAACCTATAAAAAGCCTTTGATTAACGTTTTTTTAAAAAGTTACAAATTTTTAAAAAAAAGGATGAGGAGGGAGGGTGATAGAATACATGTGACAGGAAATCAGATGAGGAAACTAACTGGAGGAAGAAAGGGAAGGGGCAGAGGGAAACAAATCAGAACTCTAATGACACATGTATGAGGATGCTGTACTTTGTATGTTAACTTAAAATACTAATAAAGAAAACAAGCAAGAAGGAGGAGGGGGGATAGGATAGGGGGTTTCTGGGGGAGGAATGGGGAAAAGGGATGCCATTTGAAATGTAAATAAATAAAATATCCAATAAAAAACTGAAAAAAAAATAAAAAATTAAAAAATTAAAAAAAAACCCTAAGAAACTTTGGAAGTTGTTACCAAATATGAATGCTACATCAGGTATCACAACACATATGTGAAAGTCATTCAGCGCTGACTTTCCTGTCTCTACAGCAGCCTGAGGTGCTGTGTTGATTCAATCTCCGAGAGAAATGTGCAAATCGACCCCCTGATTCTTTCTAAAGGTCTCCACCCACCCTGCTCTCAAAAAGAAGACTGAACGTAGAATTTGCAAGTCCTAAAGTCGAGTTTCTCCTCATCTTTATTTAAAATGGAAAACAAAGTCATGATATTTCCCACATTTTATCCCTACAGGTGTCTAGGATGCACAGCTAACGTTACTGCAATTTCTGGGTCCTTTTGGACGCTAATTAGATTTCACAAACCAGAAGCCAATAAATGTGTCATCTTTCCTACCTTTCCCTATTTGAGATCGATTTTCCTTTAGTCTGGTCATGCTTTGCTGTAGAAAATGGAAGCACCACAGATATTTCAAGCAGAACAGACTTTTATAGGAAGATTTATGTGCTTTTAAAACCATTGGAAATGACTTTGTGTTTGATTATTTTAAGTTTCCTCTATGTCCCTCCCCATAATTTTTTTTACTCCTTAAAGCCACTTGTACGTTCTCTACCTCCACTGATCTTCTGTTGCTCCATGCTCACGTATCAACTGGACCAGAAGCTTTCCACACCAGCAAGTGAAAGCAAGTGAAGAAGGAAGCCATATCTCTCAACTGATGCTGTCCCAGCTCCTGAAAAACAGATTAAATTCTAGTTATATTTTCCAGCCTGCACTACATTGATCTAATTAGTGTGAACATTTTAAAGAAGTGTAAGTTATAAGTGGTTGTATTGTTCAAAAGAGATCATTTCTACTCCAACATTAAAAATAATAATATTGGAAGAACTAGAAAGATGGCCCACCAACCAAAGAGTACACATGGCTCCAGCTGCATATGTAGCAAAGGATGGCTTTGTTGGGCATCAATGGGAGAAGAGGCCCTTGATTCTGTGAAGGCTCGATTCCCAAGTGTAGGGGAATGCCAGGGCAGGGAGGTGGTAGTGGGTGGGTGGGTGGGTGGGTGGGTGGGTGGGTGGGTGGGGGAGCATCCTCATAGAAGAAGGGGGAGGGAGGATAGGATAGGGGGTTTTGGAGGGGAAACTGGGGAAAGGGATAACATTTGAAATGTAAATTTTAAAATATCCAATAAAATAAATAAAATAAATCACTCATAAAAAAAATAATAATACTGGAAGAACTAGAAAGATGACCCAGCTTGTGGCCAGAAGTTCACAGAACCCACCTAAGCTGCACATCTTACAATTTACAATTTACATCTATACCTATATGTGTATAAAAGCTACAAGCCACATGTTAGAGAGAGAGCTTGTGGTGTCTGTCCTTCTGAGTCTGGATCACCTTGCTTACTATCATAATTTCCAGATTCATCCATCTTTCTGAAATGCTCGTGGGTTTTTTTTTTGCCAGTGGATAAATTCTATTGTGTAAATAGGTCACATTTTTACTATCCAGTCATCCACTGATGGACAGCCAGGCTGGTTCCTCTTCCTTGTTATTCTGAACAGAGTAGCAGTAAACATGGATATGCAAGTATTTAAGGTGGGTTTCTCACTGGTAGGTTTGCAATGTGGTCCATAAATTATGAACTAGAATCACTAGAGAAATAGAGAAATAATGGACCCTACCAATGCTGACCCAGAAGCTGTTCACCACCACACGATTTGGATGTCCTCCTTTGGCATAAATGCTGGATACACTTTTAGTGACAGAGGAACAGATTTTGTTGGGCATGTGACCTTTTTGTTTGGATGTATAGTATAAACACATGTAAAAATTGAGCTGTCAAAGTGACTGTTCCAATGACTACAGGTCAAAGTTTCACCTACTTTGTCCCAACTCTTTTTGTCCAGCTTCAGAAGACGCAAGAGGGACACAGTACTCCACTTCCCACTATGGACATCAGATCAGAAATGACCATCCCCCTCTGCCCCAGAAACCTGCATACAAGCTGTGTGATCTGCTCTGATTGGGAACCAGGATCCTAGAAAGAGGGACACCTAGGTAGATGGAACTATACAGAAGACATGGAACTATCAGGAGACAGTAATAGTGGTGATGTCCCTGACCTGGAAGTGGCAGGTCTTATTGTAATTGAGCTATGCCATGTCTTACAGTTCTGACTCTTGAGAACCTCAAAGCAGCTCAGGCAATGTGAGAGATGCTATCCCCATCTACCCATGTCAGCTGGGCTCTACTGTCTTTATCTCTAGCTGACAATCAATTGTTAGAACCTGCATCTTTGAATGGAGTCTTTGCTCAACACAGAAAGCTGCCTGTGCTAATGGCATCCACAAAGACCAGACAAAAGGCAAGCCCCTGAGCAACCTCCTAAGCCCAACACAAGCAGGAGCCACCCCATAAATGTCTGGTGCTGTTCAACTCCAGCAAGATGGGTCTCTAAGACATGGGTACCCACACTTTCCCTCTTCAAGACTAACTACAAAGGCCATAAATTTATGCACTTCCTCCATCCCTATCTCATATCTCTGTTCTCAAAGCCACCCAGATAAGCTTCTTACATCCAAAGTTTTCCTTTGGGAGAAATCAAACTCAGTAAGTTCTCTTTGGCAAAATGAAACTGTACTGGGGTATTAATCCAGCAACATGGCTTCTCTGGCTGGAATACAAGCCCAACTTTTAATCCCAAACAATGAAGGTAAAGTTAGTTTGTAAAAGGAAGCACCCATGTTTGAAAGTGCTGTCTAGGTGAGTGGCACACAAAGTGATGAATCAGAGAAAGATTTGACAGAATAACATATGCTTAACTCTCATGAGAGCAGAGAGGAAAGAGGGGTGACAAGAGAGAGCAGCTCAGAGGAGAGAGGGCAGTTCTACTGGGACAGTTGTACAGTTGCAGAAAAATAAATAAGCTAGACACAGGTGAAGGCAGAGTGAGCCGAAGAATGAGGAGGAGCCACAAGATTAGAACAGATTGCCAGAGTTGTATGAGGCTAAGCAGAACAATTCAGTCAAAAGCTGAAAGAAGCCAGATTGAATCAGCCAGCATGGAAAGGAGTTTTGAGTCAGAACAGCTGAGTTGACCATCCAGCCAGAGTTCAGAAAGAACCGGAAAAGGTGAGCTTATTCACCAGCAAGTCTCAGAGGTTGAAAACATTTTAGGCCTAGATAAGATTATACAGAGGCTAGAAGCTTAGGTCTAGGTTAGCAGACAGAGGCAGTAAGCCTCGGAGACAATAATTACATCAGGAAAATAAAAGTTACCTTTACATGGCACTTTACTAGGAAGACATTGTTAGCTCAGATGTTGGGAGTAACAAATGCTCAAGGAAAACAGGCAGCCCATAAACACTCAGAAAGGTAGGCCTGACTAGATACTGGAAAAAACAATGTCCCTCACAGAAAATCAACTGAGAGAAGTGTCCATTGGCAAAGTCCAAGCCACAGTCTACCTCACATTATGGGTACAATTGGAAGAGAGATAACACCTTGGCCTCCAAGGTGTTACCATATCCCATCAAGACCATGCTCTGGGAAACACTGGTAGTCTCAGCTGAGAGCTATTACAAAGAAGGGTTGGACTCTTGCAAGGAAAAGAAAGGTAAAGAAAAATAGCACATAACCACTCCAAGCAGAAAATTATTTAGTTAGTGGCTTTGTATCTAGGAATGGATATAGAGAAATAGTCACTAGCCCTTGTTAAAGCAGAGAAATGCACACTGTATTCAAGGCATCGCCATGGGTATAGGCACGCAAGGCCAGGGATCAGGGTAGGATGTGTTGGCAGAAGATTATGAAGGAGTGCTCAGGAGGGGAGAGATTCTGGCTAAACTGTCCTCATTTTATTCTCACTGAGAGCTGGCCTCAATGACCAGACATCTCCTGAGGAGAGGTGGGGTTGGGGAACCAAGATCAAAAGAGACTTGAGGCGTCAGTATCAAGGGGAACACGAAACTTAGCTGGGCTTCTTGGTAAAACTGGATTTTACCAGAGAGAACAGATGGGCACCTGGGAAAAGCTTTGGAAGCCTGACCAAGAACCTTTGCCATCATGAAGAGGGTAATGAAGCCTCCTGGCTGTTGTCTGCTGACACCAACAAATTGATCCTCATATCCTTTATTTTGTGCTTAACAAAGTATCTGGGAATTAAGGCTTCAAGGGAATAAAAATGCTGTGTTCTTTCTCAATATGATACTGATTTATCCATTCATTCATTCATTCATTCATTCATTCATTTATCTTTTTGTAAGCCAACGCTTAAGTCAATTGCTCTGCCTTTGTAAGTTCTACCACGGTCTGTTTTCTCTACTTGTAGAATAACTCATCTTTCACTTTTATTGGATCACCTCCCATTATCTTACTTATCAAACAGACTTTACATTTTCTTGAGTTTCTCTAATCCTGAAAGATAGTCAGAACGTAGAGCTGAGATCAAAGAAACTAATTTGCATTTTCGGGTTACCTACTACTTCTTGGTACTATGTCCAAGTGCTTGCATGCCAGGCAAGCACTGTGCCCCTGAGCAGTACCTCCAGATCCTCCTGCTTCTTAGGGATTCCCTTACTAAGTAGAAGGTCCTATGAGACATTCTTCATCCTTTACCATTTCATTGTTACAGCTGCTTTCTGAAATAGGCATTATTGTCAACTCCAATTCAGAGACGTTGTAGATAAACATTCCAAAAGGTTAATAATTTATTTGTAGCCACCCAGGCAGTATGTGGGAGGGATGGGATCTGGATCTTATCGAACTCTAAAAACCAATTACCTAAGAAAATAGTCCTTGGGGTTGAGGGGTGAGTGTTCAACTCAGCCAAAACTAGAATCAAACTTACTCACTTCACTGGCACCCCGACCCTGGAAAACGACTCAGTGTCCATCTGTCTGACTAATGGGGCCCGCTCACTCCATTAGTGCACAGAGGCTTGTTCATCTTCTATATTTTGGAAAATCATTGTCAAGGAGCTTTTTCTTTCTGTTATAAAACATGAGTACCTGGTTCCATATATATTAAGACTGCTAGCTACTATTAGTTAACTTAAGAACAGTCCCTGGGGATATAGCTCAGTGATTGAGTGCTTGCCTAGCAGGCCCAAGGCCTTAGGCTTAAGACCCTTGACACATCAAGACAAACAACAAAGTTCTCAATTAGTGGGACTGTCTATTTGAAAGTCAAAGGGGAGCCACTTGAAAGGGTTATGTAAGGAATCTCACCTATACTGAAAACAACATAGAACTGGGAGGATTAAGCCAGTCCCATCTATTAGGAAATGAAGACAGGGTCTGAGTAGCTAATTGAACGCTCGATGCCGCCAAACATGAACAAGCCAAACACCAAGTCTTCCTGGACCTATCCCACCTCAACATATGCAGTTCACTGAGCTCCCACAGGTTACATTATCAAGACCTTTGGGGGTTTCTGTTCTGTGTCTGAAGTTCTGCGTCTGGATGTTATAACAGCTGAACAATAAAGCTAATTGAATCTTCTCAGTTTGGCATTTGAACTAACAAGTCGGTATTGAAAATCTACTAAAAATAGTTTCCATAAACATAGCTCTTAACACGTAGTCCCTTAGACTCTATTGTTTGAGGTACCATTTCCTACTAAATCACTCACTGTCCCAAAATCTCGCTTTGAGCAGACACTGGTCTGTTTCTCCATGGGGGTTACTTCTGAGCTGTCAGAGCACAGAGATCAAAGAAGCATTAGTAACACATCTTTGACACATCCAGTTACTGGGCTTTGGGGAATGATCCACATTGTATAAAATTTGCATCTGGGTGGCTACAGACATATTTTCATCATTTAAAATCCATTTCAGGGAGCCATTCAAAGATGATGAAGCAAAATGATACATTGTTTTCTTCCTTTGAACAAGGAAACACCATGCAGATCCAGTTAAAAGCCGAGCAAAACAAAAATAAATTGCAATACTCAAAGGCTGTTCTATATTATGGAAGAAAACCTTGTCAACATAGTGCACAGAACCACAGACTGAGGCCACGTAAGCCCTCAGACGCACACCAACCCAGAGTGGGTATTGCTGCATGCTGGCAGACCATGCAAGAAAAGGACTGGCAGAGGCCAGGGAAGACCCCAGAAGTCTTAATGTTTATGCTTAAGAAGAAAAGCACAATACTCTAAAATGTCCCCAATCAAGTCTGAAAGAAGTCTTCACTTACATCCCCCAAGATAAATAGACACACTACACCATGCAGGCTCATGCTATAAAGCATCAAACCAACCAGAAGTTGAAGGAACAGTGAAGAAAGCTAGCCTGAAGCTTAGGTAGATGAATAGGTAGACAGACAGACAGACAGACAGACAGACAGACAGACAGACAGATTTATCCAAATGTGTTTATTGGGATGGTTTCCTCATCTTGATCAAGGGTGCTTTTAGCAATGCCTCCTGAAAGAACATCTCCTATTGGCTTTGCTTTCCCACCTGTCAGCTGACAGGACACAGTGGTCCAGGCAACACACAAGACTACCTCTTTTAGCACATGGCTAATGATTGCGGTGATTCGGTAGCATCCTGGCCATTCTCAATCTCAAAGTAGAAACTGGGACTCTGCACCTGCGTGCTTCTTCTTGTCTTTCCTCTTCTCCTCCTGCAGAGAGAGAGGAAGGAGATCCTTTGTGATCGTGGGGCACATTCTCTGAGGGAGTCATCGCTACTGGATCCCACCTCTTTTATGTTGTTGCTGCTGCTGTTGCTGCTGCTGTTGGGAGGGGCAGAAGAAGCAAGTCTGAGTGGGTTTGGAATGGAGTAGGCAGGCTGATTTCAGAGCACTCTGGGTTATAGATGTAATAGCTTTCCACCTGGTACCTGGCCTTGCAGTATTTTGGGAAAGGATGTGGCTGAACACATGTTTGGGACTATTTGATTTGAATGTGAAAGCTATACCAACATGGAAGTCATTTTCAAAATGCTGCAAAATAACAAAGTAAAACACTGAAAATAAAATAAACATTATTAATACAACTACCAAGCAAATGCTCTTAGGCAGAGTCAACCAAAAGCAAAATTTCACAGGGAAATTATCATTTGATATGTCAAGTTTTATGAAAAATGGAAGGGAAGATTTATATCATTGATGTATATTATGTGTGATTCTGTGTGAGCCATTGATAAGAAGTGACGAGACGGGTCAGTGGATGAATCATATAAATTACAGGAATAACTTTTACATTATTATAAAGATGCATGGTAGACGGCATTTTCCATCCTCCTCTGCCACTCATTAAAGAGTGAGGAGGAAGGTCTAACAGGACTGCTCCTTTGAGACATTCTACCTGATACACTGACACAGTCACTTTTACTTCCGCCTCCATTTGTCCCTTAACAAGGTCATTGTCCTTCCTTGACTGCTGCACACAGTGATTAAGGACATCTTGTAACTGCGTATAAGCATTCTCTTCCAAGACTGGGCACTATAGCTGGTACCTAGCTGATAACTTAGCCATCTGAGCTCTTATCAGGGGAATAGAAGCAAATAATGGCGCCATCATCAGGGAGTTTGAGATGACATAGAGGTGGCGAGTGGTTCCAATAGCAACAGGGCAAGTGTTTAAAAGTCTTTGAAGGGAGGAAGGAGAGTTTGTTCCTCTTCTGACAAGAAAGTTATTGAGCATGTGCAGGCCCCACATCCTCAGCCTTGTCCATGTCTGCCCAAGTGTCCTGTCCAAGATCCTCTGGAGACTTTATCATAGGTAAGAAATCTAGTGAGTTGGACTATTTATTCACTTGGTACTGTGACTCTTCCCTTTGTCTCCTCAGCTGGACCAACCCCAAGATGATAGAAGAGGGAACATTCCTCCAAAGATATCCAGAGACCTTCTGCTTCCTGGTGTGCATTGTTAATTCTGTTTTCTCAGCTTGACCTTCCTCTTGTACCATTTAGGGTCACAAGAATTCTGGTAAAAACGCATGGCATACTTGAAAGAAATTGTCTATGTGACACCCAACACTATGTGCACTCTTTACAAAATGTTACTATTGCTGCAGCGACAAAGTCCCACCACCAGCAACCTCCCTGTGTCCTTACCTCACTGCTCCATTGATTACAGAGATGATCTGAGCAACACGATGCCACCACATGCCTAATGAGAAGTAGGTCCTAGGAAGAAGTCTCTAAGTCTCTGGGGCCATGTCTATGAAGGGTAGCAGTAAGACACGAGTCATTTTCTCTTTTTAGCTTCCAGTTCAGAAGGTTGGCAGCTATGAAATGCCACACACTCCAGCATTGATGTGATGCTCATAACAGATCCAAAGCCAAAGGGCTGGTTGATCATGAACAAATGTTCCAAAATAGTCAAGATAAATATTTTCTCTTTGTAAGTCAGTCACTTCATGCATTTATTATACTAACAGAAAAATACACCTGGGTATTTTAAATCATCTCTATGTCACTCATAACACCTAATGCAAAATAATTTTATGTGAAGAGTTGTTATTATTTAAAGAAGGATGACAAGAAGTTCTACACATGTTGAGTACCAGTTGTCAGGAACCGTCATAAGAGAAGCTTAAAAACTAACAGGTGATCTTCCTGAGATGTGTCTGCCTTGGATTAAAATCTATGATAAATTTGCTCCTATAGGCAAGGCCCAAGAAAAATAAATAAATACATGTTAGGAAAGATTCCTCCTATTAATATTCTTTTCCTGCATGCATATATATGTGTTTGTGTGTGTGTGTGTGTGTGTGTGTATGCCCACCTTTTTGAGTAGGTCTCTCTGCAGACCTACAAAGATGTAGTATCTTGTAGTGATGCTATACAGAAAAATAGATAAGAATTCTATAGAATTTCTGATTTGATTCAAATAATTTTAGGAGGAAAGTTTTTAGAGATGGTCTTAGTTGCTAGAAAGATGTAATAAAGTTAGAATCAAGAATGGAATGTGCCCACTCCTCAGAATAGTAAGTAAAGGCTACCTAATAAGGAATACAATGAGCTTTCACAACCACACTAAAAAAGGAATAGACTTGGGAAAATTTTGTTCAAGGTAAAACATTTAGGTCCAAGGATAAAGCCACAGGTGTGCACTATGATAAGTCAAGGCCATGTAAGAACTGCTGCTTTGAACTTTTAATGAGTATATTATAATGAAACACTGCTTTGAACTTAATATCCATATCCTTCTGTAACTCCCATTTTATGTAACATTTTATCTCTGAGGTAAATTTCTAAAGAAATTTTTGTCTGAGTAGGTACAAGAAGACCCGAGAAAAGAAGTAAAGTGGTTGGTGTTGTTGGACGCACGGTTCAGAACAGACCACACAGGACCAAACAGTTCCACGTGAGATTTATTCAGGAGATAAGGGCAAAGATGACGGCAAGAAGAGGGAGAAGAGAGAAAGAGACGCCAGGGTGCTATGCCTATTTATACGAATAGTGATGTAGCCTCTCGCAGGTAAAGTTGGGAAGTAAGCCAAGTGGACTCTGGGAAATGTGTGGCAGTTGTCACCTAGATGTGATGTCACTGGGTTCGGAGCCTGATACCAACATACCTCCCTTTTTCTTATTATAAAAAGAAGAAAAAAGGGGAAGGGAAGCCGAAGGTGAAAGGGGATTGAGAGCTTCTCACCAACACCAATTGGATGCCCAGTCCAGCCCTTACCCTGGGGCAGGGCCTGGGCTCCAGGGAGGGGCAAAGGCTCTGATTGACAGGTCACCAAAACTGCTTTCCAGAAAGGAAAACAGAGGGATAAAAACCAGGAGTTTTTATGGGTGCCGGGCAGGCAAATCGAGATGTCTATTGTAGTAGCTTTAATGTATCCGTGATCTAAGAAGCCAGACTTATACTACCAAAAATATTCCCAGGAACGTACTGTAGAGACAGTTCTTAAAGAACAGGCATGTATGTATACAGCCTTGTCTCACAAATGGCCACTTTTAATGGAACAAGAAACAAAGAAGTTTGATTTCAAGGAAAAGCTCTCACAGACATCAAGATCTAGTATTGTCTGAAATTACTCTTCACTGCTCTGGCATTTTGGTGTGTATAAACATGCAATCAGGCAGGAAGGAATCTTGGATTTATAATACATAAAAAATTGTGCAAAGACACAATAAATTTTAAGATGCAATTCAAACAAGGCGGCAAAAACAATGTCCCTCAAACAGCTTGCTTCCTGAAACTGAAGGGCTGCGGATCTGGAGAGCAACCCCAGCAAGTGTCGTGGGGCTGGGCTCCACTGGGCTGCTGTATACAGTGATGACTCACTCCGCCCACCAGCTTACCACATCAATCCACTTGGAGCCTAGCTCTGAGGCCAGGTCATTATTTTGTACAAAAAAAAAAATTGTCTGCTCATCAATCTCTACTGTTTTCTAATTATTAGCCCCTGATAATTAGAAGACATTTTATGCATTGGCTTCCTAAATTAATTCTACGTATTATTCTAAACTGTAAGGCTGGGTTAGATGAAGAATTATAGCATCTAGGAAACAGAGACAGAAAACTTATAATCGAAAAGAAATACTTTCTTAAAAAAAAAATACTTTCCTGTGGGATATAAAAGCAGGAATTCTGTAATAATGTGCAAATTTTCATTTTGTTTCTAAAAGAATCTCCACAGGACTTTTTTCCTAGCATGCTGGGGACTAACTGGGTGTCCATCCATAGTATAACAATGGTAATTTAAAAAAAAAACTTTCTGTGAGTATATATTTTTTAATTAATTTTTTTTCAAACAGTGTATTCTAATCTCCTCTCAGGTACTCCACAACACGAAATCCATCCAACCTTTTGATTTCTTCCTCTCTTTAGGAACCAAACTGGCCAATTTAAAAAAAAAAAAAAAACAGAATTAAAGATAACATTTCTACCAGGGATTTCATCCACACCGGTTTCATTTTGGTTGATTCCCCTCCCACTCTCTCAGCTCCTTAACCCCATTGCCCTGCAGAGCCTTTATCCCTCAAGTACTACTCCTGCTCCTCCACCCCCCCAAAAAAAAACTCTTTTTTTTTCCAATCTCAAACAAGAACTATTTTGATGATCACTGGTAGATTTATAACTAACTCTTTTTTATATAAGGACAATCGAACGAAGCATGGACAAATGGCGTTAGGAATATTTCAGAGAAGAATACCTCTCGTGTTATCCTTGAAGAAAAGGCAATCTTAAATCTATTCATTCCAATACCAACCCGATTCTGACTGGATGATGTGGGGGTATGCATAAGAATAGCCCCCATAGGCTCATAGATTTGAATTCTTGGTCACAGGGAGTGACACTATTTGAAAGGATTAGGAACTATGGCCTTATTGAAGGAAGTATGTTGTTATGGTTTGTATATGCTTGGCCCAGGAAGTGGCACTATTAGAAGGTGTGGCTTTGTTGGAGTGGGTGTGTCACTGTGGGTGTGGTTTTAAGACTCTCTTGCTAGCTGCCTGAAAGCCAGTATTCTGCTAGCAGCCTTCAGATGAATATGTAGAACTCTCAGCTTCTCCTGCACAATGCCTGCCTGGATACTGCCATGCTCCTGTTTTGATGATAATGGACTGAACCTCTGAACCTGTAAGCCAGCCCCAATTAAATGTTGTCCTTTATAAGAGTTGCCATGATCATGGTGTCTCTTCAGC